CATGTTTGATTTTGTTATTTTAAAAAATTACAAAATGTTATGTATCAAATTACCTTAAAACAATAAAACAAAATTAAATATATTAAGATAAAACAATATTTAAAGTACGTACCTTTTCTATGTCCTTTTTTTGTTGAAGTTTTCCTTTTCTCCTTTTTCTTGCATTTCTAGCTGATCTTGTCCATGTATCGTCAACTTAATTTTCCATAGGCCCAATTGAAATTGAAAAATAAGATGCTCCTACCACCAATCCTTTTAAAAACAAAAGGCTGAAGTTGAATTAACGATTCTCCGCTTCTTTATTGCATAATTGATTCTGAATGCCTATGTATTGAAATGGAAAATGAAAATGGGTGGTGGATGGCACATTTCAACTCATTATATATCTCTTTTTGTAATAGGATTTTGACCCAAGTATATAAGAGTTTCCATAAATTTGGATATAAAAGTGAGCAATTTAACTCATTGCCAATTAGATATATAAGTAAGGAATTCAAAATAGTATTGTGTCCATCCTAGATATAACGAATTTCTTACTAAAAAAATGAATCCAGGATAATATTATTGATTATTCAAGATACATAATTAAGGATTGCCATATATAAGTTAAGGGATACAAAAATAATATTAATATTATCCAACATACATAATATAAGTAAGGTGATGAATAATATACTCGTGATTATAATTTTCAAATTTAGTATTATTTAGGATTGTTCCTCAATAATATTTTTCGTAAATTTTGTCAATCACCATATGTTAAGAAAATAATCTATTCTTGGAAATCATATCATACCATTTTATGGCTATGCATAAATCATTTTCTAACACACGGCTCTATTAGGAGAGTTTCACATTAAATTATTTACTTACCTTTTGTATTTTAGGAAGGACTTTATTATAGTGAGAATTCCTTGTTACTTAGAAGAGTTTCACATTCATTGGAATTTCTATTAGTATAGGTACTATATTGATTTCAACCTATATATACATGAATTTCCATTAATAAATCTCTGTTACTTATTAATTTAAGTATGAAATTTATAAATATGGAGTAAGATAAAGGATGGTTCTAAAATTCTATTTAAGTTAAATGAAAATTATTATATTTCTTTTTTATTTTTTAAATAGTATTTATATTTTTCGTATTTATTTTTAATTGTTTATATTATCCTCGTAATAGGAGTGTGTATTATTATAATCTGAAAACATATATTAACATAAAATATTATTGATTATCCAAGACACATAATGAAGGATTTTCATATATAAGTAAACGGATCCAAAATAATATTAGTATTATCCAACATACATAATATAAGTAAGGTGATGAGTACTATACTTGTGATCATCATTTTCAAATTTAGTATTATTTAGGTTTTTTTCTTAATAATCTTTTTTGTAAAAAATAATTTTCTAATTTCCATTAATATAGGTACTCTATTGATTTTAACTCTTATTATACACGAATTTTCATAATAAACCTTTGTAACTTATTAATTTAAGTATGTAATTTTTAAATATGGAAGTAAGATAAAGAATTAATATATGTACGTAGCATGGTCCTGAAATTCTATTTAAATTAAATGAAAATTATTATAATTGTTTTTTAAATAGTATTTATATTTTTTCATATTTATTTTTAATTATTTTATATAATCATCATAATAGGAGTTCGTATTGTTGTAATATGAAAACATAATTTTATATATATCCCTTTTTTTGGGTTATAAGGATACATTATCGGTAGATCTTCAGCCAGCGAACATCGAAGGAAAGAATTTTTTTGAAGCCAGCGATTCTTTTTTTGAAGACCAGCAATTATCGCAGAAACTTCTGCGGTCAAGTGGAATAACCGAATAAAGGATAGGGAACTCCGCTGGTGCAGTCCGTAGCAAATTTTCTTTTAATTTTACTATTATTACGTGGCTCGCTGACGTGTTCAATTTTTGCCAAATAGGCATGCCAAATGTCGCATTCCCATGAATCCGAGTTCCCTTTATTATATTAAAGGATATTATTTGTGACGTTTAAATTTAATATAGGCAATTTTTTGCCAAAAATCTCCGCAAAAAACAATTGTCCTTCCAACAAAAGGTTTGGACTCACTACCAGTTTTTTTCACAGACAAATTGCTTTAAAGCACTACTTATGAGTTATTGGTGTTTCATCTCATATTATACGCCTACTCTAAGTGGACTCTCTTGATGAATATTGCACATTAAATAATTTTTCCGTTCCATATCTTTCTTTTCACTTTCCTTTTCAGACTGTCCCATTTGATTCTTCTCGTTTCCTTAGCTGGAAATTAAAATTTATCCAAAAGACTAATTTACCCTTCTTCATCTCCTCTTATTTGAAACCAAAAAAACCAGCCCCACCCACGGCCCACCCACTCCACCTCCCCCCCTCCCGTAAAAAAAATCGGAGAATTGCCGAAACCGGCCGGTACAGTATCGGTACCACCGGTTTGGGTACCGGAACCGGTACTGTTTGGCCCGGTGACAGTAACGGTGCTTAGGGTTGACAGTACCAGAACCGTCCTGGAACCGTACCGTGTCCACCCCTACACCCGAGTAGGGTATTGCTCCACCCAAACAATCATGCTGCATCGTACCTGGACATTGCCCGGGTGGTCTTGGTTGAAACCCACCGGGTAGGGAATAGATCTACCCAAACAATCATGTTGTAGAGTTCCTGGAACTCACCCCGATGGTCTTGGCTAAAACCCACCTGAGCAGGGTACAGATCCAACCAAACAACCCTACTACATAATACCTAGACTTTTCTTGAGTTGTTTTGACTGGGCCCGACCCGAGTTATGACATCGGTGGAATACACCCATCCCTCTGTAATACACTTTGGCATATTCGTTATCAGCTTACTCCGTATATAGTAAAATTTTCATTTTAAATGTTAAAAGCTACGAGTATATTACTCCGTATTACTTTACCTTTGTTAGAATTGACAAATTTTTCTTTCACGCGTTGCATCACTAATTAAAATGGATTATTAGTACTAAAAAAGTTAGCCAAAATGCCAAGTCACAAAACATTTGTTGACTCATCGAATTAAAGCTCGGTCCTACCGGTAGAGCTGACGGAGTACACGGTAAACCGGTGAAGGAGATAATAAAATCCCGGGGAAGCGTCATGGCTAAGCCAGTAAACTCACTCGGCCGGACTCCTATATATAAGCCCTGCCACTGATAACTACAACTCTCCCCGAGGGGGCCGGATCCTCTATCCCAATTTGGGTGTCCCATTCCTCTATCCCACATTTATGTGACTGCCATATGGCATATTTTTTTTTTGAAGGCTCATGTGGCATATTATTATTTAATAATAAAAGGCAAAATGGAGTTAACTACTCCGTTAAGAATTAAATGCAAAAAACAAGAAATGCTACTCTGCTAACTGTTACTCCGTATTCAATACTGGGTATATCTTTTTTTATAGTTTTCAAATTTAAAAATATTAATTTTGATTTTAAAAAATAACTTTTTAATTGTACACTTTTTATAATTTTAAATTTATGGTTAAAGCTAAATGGTTAGAATATTTTCATGTCATGGAGAATAAACAAAATTTTCAATACATATATGCAACTCTTTTAGCACAGCAAATTGAAAACATATCCTTCAATATAATAAAGGAGACTCGGATGCACAGAAATTCGACATTTAGCATGTCTATGTGGCAAAATTTAAACATGTCAGCACGCCACGTAATATCCAAGTAAACCAGCGAAAATAAATTATATACGATGCACTAGCGGATCTCCCGTTGAAAACAAATGACCTCAGATTTTCTACGTGATAATCACTGGCCATCTACGAAATTCTTTCCTTCAGATTACAACAATACGAACTCCTATTATGATGATAATATAAAATAATTAAAAATAAATATGAAAAAATATAAATATTATTTAAAAAATAAATATAATATTTTTCATTTAATTTAAATAGAATTTTAGAACCATGCTACATATATTAATCCTTTATCTTACTTCTATATTTAAAAATTACATACTTAAATTAATAAGTTACAAAGGTTTATTGTGGAAATTCGTGTATAATAAGAGTAAAAATCAATAGAGTACCTATATTAAAGGAAATTAGAATATAATTTTTTACAAAAAAGATTATTAAGAAACAATCCTAAATAATACTAAATTTGAAAATGATGACCACGAGTATGTTGGATAATACTAATATTATTTTGGATCCGTTTATTTATATATGGAAATCCTTAATTATGTGTTTTGGATAATCAATAATATTATATGTTAATATATGTTTTCAGATTACAACAATATGAACTCTATTTCTTTAGAAATATTAGACGTGTCCATCCTAGTGTGAACCCAAACCCTAGAATAATCTAAGAGCACTGGGTATACTCCTCACGCCCACCGGCGTTACGGGGCGTTTAACGCCCCGGGGGCGTGAAACACTGCCCCCCGCCCCCGGGACGTTGTCAGAGTTTGGACGAATTATCTACGAGCAAAGAATGAGAGAGATCAAGGAGAAATATAATTTACCTTAGTTTTTTTATTAATGTATCTTTTTTTTTAAATTATTGTCGCTTTTTTTATTTAATTAATGTGTTTTTTTTATTATTCGTGTTTCAATTTAATTAAATAATAAATTAATTACATTTTATTAATTTAATTTTAGAAAATGTATATTTAAAAATGTAAAAAATGAAGGTTTGAAGCCCCAGTTTGAAGCCCTGGGGCTTCAAATCCATTTTCGGTGAATTTTGGGTGTAAGTTATAGCTGACGTGGCAGAGAGAGAAAGTTTGAAGCCCCGTTTTAAAGCCACGGGGCTTCAAACGTATTACCAGTGCTCTAAGAGAGAATGATGAAGTGCAAAAGAAAATAAAAAAAATCGAAAGACATAAGAATTGACGGAGTATTTTTGACGGTTGGGAAGACGGAGCATTTTATTCTGTAGCAATATTTTTTATTAAAAAATATGTTTACTTGATATGCCACATGGCAATCACATAAATGTGGGATAGAGGAATGGGACACCCAAAGTGGGATAGAGGATCCAGCCCCCTCCCCGAGCTCTCATTGTCTAAGGAATGGGAGGCATCGGCAGCGACACGACATCGTTTCCTCTCCCGCCGGGCTGCCGGTTCTACCCCTCCGATGAACAGATCCTCTGCTACTACCTCTCCGAGAAGAACGGCCGCAATCGCAGCGATGGCATTAACGTAATTAAGGAGATCAACCTGTACAATTTCGACCCTTTCGACTTACCGGACTCTTCCTGCTTCCGGTTCGGACGCGGCGGGATACGGCGGCACTGGATCTGCTTCGTGGCTAGGGTTTTGAAGGACAGAAGAACCAGGCGGGCTGGGGGCGGGTATTGGAAGAGGAAAGGGAGGATTAGGGCTGTCCTTGATAAGGATGCAGGGAAAGTTGTTCTTGGGATGCGCAAATGTTTCGTTTTTTATTTGGGAGAATCTCTTAAGGGTGCTATAAGGACTGATTGGTTTATGTATGAATACGCCCTGCCTAATGCGGTACCTTCTTATCAGCGGATTTGCTTTGATATCCATTATTGTTCTAGTAAATTGATGGACCAACTCTGTCTGGTATATATATGTTCACACATTCACACTACTTTTGTATATGATGATGAACAATACATATACATATTAAGGTTTCCGCTAATTCCTGAGAGGCTATTCGTTGATGATCCTAAATAGACATTGAGGGTCTCTAATTTTATGATCTCCGTGTTTAAAAGATTGATTTTTAGCATTTGAGTTGCAGCGATAAGAATAAAGTAATGCTACTTGATTTTGGTCCAAAGAGTATTTAGAAGTTTGGCTAGTTCTATGTTTATAATCAGAGAACAGGCTTTTTGTGTGTTGGGAGGAGGGGAGCCTGGTGGTACAGTTATGGTTCATCTGGTTGCAGAATTCTATTCATAATTTACCCTCTCTATAGCTAGTTCTATCTTCTTTTTCACTGCGAGTAAAACTAATGCAGTACATGACATGGTAAAAATGCAGGCTGCTTTTGTCTTGTGCCGGATTTTTGTGAAATCACCTCATGGAATTAATGGGTCAGAAAATGTGTTGAGTTCCTGTGCTGAAGAAAGTTTTGCAACAGTTCGTCACATTGGTATTCAATTTAACGGAATAACGAATTCAGCTACTGAAGAAACACTGCAGGATGGGAAGAAAGAGACTTTGAATTCCCCGGTGGAAACAGTCAGCACGTTAGAGAATCCTGTTAGTGAACCTTATGATGACTGGGTAATGCATGTTAAAATACAAATTCTGCATCTATGTTCAAATTTCAAAGTTCATCAGTTCATTGCTCTTTGTTTTGTTTGTTATGCTTTTTTTTCTCATACCACTTCTGTATATGAACTGAATTTGTCTGCAATTCTTTATCGGGTTTTTTTCAGCAGATGAGATCAACTTGTCATTTTAGTAGTGGTGCTACATATTTTGAAGCCTTTTCTCCAAATGAAGTATTAGGCAATCTGGAAGGAGATTTTCTGGAGCTGAATGACCTTCTTTGCCCGCTTTCGGGCATTGACTAATTCTGATACAAGGATTTTTAAGAAGCACAATTGGGTGCCAGAATCTTTCCCATTTAAGAGAGAGATGGATCATCGCTAATCAGTGATATAAAAGAAATCAATGTTCACTACTGGGCTTCAGGTACAAGTGATTCAGATATACAGAAGACTGGTACAATTCCAAAGAATAGTTGGGATGCATGCTGTCATGTACTTTATAAAATTAAGGTTTTATAAGATATATTGGTGGGCAAAAGCCTGGAGACATGAAGTGTTGTCTGTCCTCTCGTGACAATTGTGAGAAGGCATAAATCATCTGGCTTACGAGGTTCTTTGATTGATGAAGAAAAAGAATACTCAATTCGTAATTATATCATTGATAGGGATGGCTTTGGGAGGTAACACGGTACATGTCGTGAATTATATATGTATCAAAATCAAATGCTGCTCCACCTTGCCAATCCATTGGTCATTCTCTTGAAGGTGGAGTTGACTACTCATTAAGCTGATCCCGCTTAATCTTGAAAATTCTATTATCTCCATTACCTGAGATTTTACAGACATCTGTTTTTCTGTTGTATTCCCTAGTTGATCATCAAACATACTTGTTTGAGGGAGATGAAACTCAGGTTAATTTACTGCTTAGGAGTTGAAATTTGTGTGAACCTGTCAGCTTTTGTTGGTCCATAAATGTCACTCTCTATGCTTTATTATGGCAGCATTTGTTGGTCCTCAAATATTCCTCTCTATGCTTACATTTCAACCTGACAGATTTGCTCTTTTTTTCTTTCCTTTTTTGTGGTACATTACTTAGTTTGTTCAGTATTAATCTTTGGTTTCCTTTCAAGGTTTACACTTTGTTGTAGTTGCTTTTTTTAGGAAGAAAAAGAAGAAAGTATTGATTCATCAAAAGAAGCAGCAAAGTCACCAGGGATAGAATCTAACACACCACACTGAGTCTCACACTGAGCCTCATCCAAAGTTGGTTTCATAAAGAGTAGATTGGCATCCGTAAACACGAGATAAGTGATAGGGGGCCTTGGGCAACACAAACCCCGTGCAAACCCTTTTGCTCCGCCTCTTGTAAAAGAAGAGGAAGACACTCAACACAAAGATTGAAGAGTTTAAGACTAAGGGGGACTCCCCTAATGGTGACCTTAGGTGGGGACAATCAACTCAAATATATTGTCATTAATCAAGACCCAATTTTGAATTGTAGAAAACCAAATCATAACTGGCTAATCCATCTCCCATCAAACCCTAGTTGTTCCATTACATCTTTGAGACCTTCATTCCATCATCCAACTTAAAGCCCCACCAACATGTGTGCCCAACAATTTAAATTAGCCTCCAAAAAATAATATACGGAGTAAAAAATAAGTTTACCAAAAGAGAGTGAATTTGGCATCTGAAATGATATCTTTTAACAGGGCTTTCATATGATTAGCCACCACTTTAGCAACAACTTTATATGTGATGTAGTAGAAGGCAATAGGTTTTAGGTTTGCTACTTTCACGGGAGATTGTTTTTTATGCACCAACACCAATGTATCATCGTTCATACCTTCAAGAAATGCACGATCCTTCAAGCAAGTCGGAATCAATTTCGTGACATGTAAGGCCACCTCATCCCAGGCCAGGGGAGATTTATTCTTTTATGAGTGCAATAGATTTCAATAATCATATCATCAATCTCTCTTTAGATTCTCATAAAAAGTAGTAATCCCATAGTTGGAAATTCTGAAAGCTAACAAAAATGTCAAGTAGGTGATGATTAGTTGTGTGATTAGCTCTCTAGATCAGCGCCAAGTCACCACTTAACCCAACACACTACCCAGTACAAATCAATGTTCTGAAAACCGGATTGGACATCAACCCAGACGAGAGATTGGGTCAAAGGCTAACCAATTGAACCGGTCAACTCGGGGGTCAACGACCCGGTCGAATTATTAATTAAAATGCTAATATATTATATTATATTATTAGATAGATATTTTTAGTTAAAAAAATATTTAGCTTGTGTTTTTTAACTTCTCAATCTAGTTTTTAATATCATTGTGCATATATTATTTCATATTTTCTGTTTTTTATTTTATTATTATTAAAAATTAATAGTGAATTTTCTAAAAGATATTTAAATAATAAGGTAATACTCATATTATTTAAAAATAAAGAATAGATAATATGTTCTTATGTAGTACTCTGTACTATTTATATTTTATGGAGTAAAATTTATGTTTAGTTGATTAAATGATTGAAAATATAAAAAACAGGATATTAAATTATAGTTAATATTTTAAAGATGAAAATAATACTTTAATTATAGATTTTTTATATTTTTCTTAAGATGAAAAAATAAATAATACAAATTATTTTCAAGTTTGAACTATTTTAAAATTTAATAATATAAATATATTATATAAATATAGTTCTTTTTATAAATAATAACAGGTCTTTTTAAATTATTCTCTAAATAGATTAACACGTTATATATTTCATAGTGCAAGGACTTTGTATCAAAAGTCATAGTAGCCCATTTTGTTAAAACCCCTATGTAGCCCATTTTGTTAAAACCCCTATTGCCTAGTGTTAGGAGGTCTCAGGTTCGTTTCCTGCCTTAGGCCCCGTTCCGTTCAACTTATTTTTTCTTATTCTTATTAAAATCAGATCAGATTTAATCAGATCCAATCAGATCCAATCAGATCAGATCAGATCCAATCAGATCAGATCAGAACTTATTAAAATCAGATCACATCAAGAATTATTATTATTATTATTATTATTATCATCATCATCATCATCATCATTATCATTATTATTATCATCATCATCATCATTATTACATTGTCAATCTAATTCTACTTTTAAAATATATTTTTATTGCTACTTGTAATTTGAGTTTCTAAACTTTTGATCTTTTATAAGGATGAGATATTTTAATAAAAATATTATCTCTTCTATATATATTGATTATCAAAATTTAATTATTTTTTAATGTATATCTAAATTAAATATTTATTCTAATGTATAATTCTAATTTTACAAAAAAATAATCATAAAATAAAAATATTATTACACTATAATATGAATGATTATTCTAATATATGAATTGACTATTTTTATTTTATTAAAAAATAATCATTAAATAAAAAATGTTGATTATATTATAATATGAATTATCATTACAATTTTCAAACGTTATTATAAAGTCAAATTAAATTATTAATTTAAAATTTTAAATTAAATCATAATTAATCAGATCAGATCAGATCAGATCCAATCAGATCAGATCAGATCCAATCAGATCAGATCAGATCAAATCAGATCAGATCAGATCCAATCAGATCAGATCATACCAGATCAGATCAGATCAGAAAAAATAAGTTGAACGGAACGGAGCCTTAGTGCCTTTCTTTTATTAATTCAAACTAGCATCACACCCGTGCGTTACACGAGTCATTTTTATGTTATTAAATTCAAATCATTTTTCAATGATAAAAAATGAAATTGAATAGAATATAGACCGTATTTATAGTATATAATTTTATTTTTTCAAAACTGTGCGTATAATTATTCTTAATATAAATATATTATACTATAATTATTTTTACTATAAGCATACACAGTTATTTTTGAAACTGTGTGTAGAATTATTCTTACTATAATTATATTATATTACCTACTCACACGGTTATAAAATCATTACGTTGGTTAATTATTACCTTTTTTTAATTATTTCTATTTTTAATAAAGTAATAATAATGCTTTTAAATTTTTTTTTGGAAATTACCTTTCTTGCACGGAGTAATAATTCATGCACGGGTTAAAAATGGCAGTTAATTATATAGTTTTTTGGTTATTACCTTTCTTGGTAGTGTGCTTAAAAATCATACCTTGGTAGTGTGCTTAAAAATCATTTTATTATATCATTTTTTAATTATTTCCAGTTTTAATAAAGTACTCCCTCTATTCCATATTAACTGTCCATTATGACTTTTTTGATACATTAAGAAATGAATGAATGTAGACATAAAGTATGTCTATATTCATTCATTTCTCAATGTACCAAGAAAGTCATAATAGACAGTTAATATGGAATGGAAGGAGTAATAATAACGCTTTTAAACATTTTTCTGGAAATTACCTTTCTTGCATGGAGTAATAATTCGTGCACGGGTTAAAAATGGCAGTTAATTATATAATTTTTTGGTTATTACCTTTCTTGGTAGCGTGCTTAAAAATCATACCTTGGTTGCGTGCTTAAAAATCATTTTATTATTTTTATTCACACCCATACACTAACCATTTTTATAAAACTATAACTTCGGGCATTTACCATTTAATTTCACAATTGCTATATGTAATGGCCATACTTTGTGCACGGGTTAAAAATGGACACTATAATTTCGAACACTTACCATTTATATAGGTAATAATTGCATGGAGTAATAATTATTACATTTTTTGGTTATTACCTTTCTTGCTATTAAACATAAGTATAAATATATATACATATATATATATTTAAAAGGTTTTACCGTATTAATTTGTTTTTCAAAACTGTGTGTATAATTATTCTTGCCATAATTATATTATACTATAATCATACACACGTTTTTATATAACCTAATCACATAGTAATTATATAATTATATAATTATGGTAAGAATAATCATACCCACGTTTTTAATAGCATTGATTGGCGGCGTGTAGTAAAGTTTAAACATATTTTTTATAAATGATATTGGCCTATTTTATAAATATTTTTTTATATCTTACCTTTCTTGATAGTATAAATTTCGGACACTTTAAAAATGACAGTTAATTATTATAAAAATTCACAACCATACACTAACCATTTTATATTACTATAATTTCAGATACTTACCATTTAATTTCACAATTGCTATATGTAATGGTCATACTTCGTGCACGGGTTAAAAATGGACAATATAATTTTGGACACTTACCATTTATATAGATAATAATTGCACGGAATAATAATTATTACATTTTTTGCTAGTATAAATTTCGGACACTTTAAAAATGACAGTTAATTATTATACATATAATATAATAATTATACTTGTAAAATGTAAATTTTATATTACTATAATTTCAGACACTTACCATTTT